TTAATCACCCACTACCGACGATCAGAATTGAGTGTTGCTAATTGAGTTTTTGATGGATTTGAGTCAGTCAATGGTTAATGGTTGCAAAGACCTTGAGTGTGGGGTAAAAGGTATGATCATTAAAGCACAACTCATCCTTTGAGAAAGAAACTGCTGATTATCACAAGAGTACAAGAATAAATTTCTGGTGTTCATGTTGTGTTTTGTGTGTCATGGATTTTTGTGTCTTGAGCGAGGTTGTGTCTCCGTGGTCTGTGTTGTGTTTCCTCCAATTACTGATCTCTTGGCCGAGTCGTTGCTTAGGGACAAACAACAATTGAGTGTGGGTTTGTGAATAACTAAATCAAAGCCACAAGTATTTAATATTTTCCCATAACCACACTACCCAAGTTAACAACGATAAGAAATGAAATTACTTGATAAAAATATTACTATTATATTTAACTTGTAATCTGAACTTAGCACCTAAAAAAACTTGTGATCTGAACTCAAATTCAAATCATTTACTTCTACTCATTTACATATCATTTACATACCGTTTGGTATCAAATGAATCTAGAATTCATTTCATTTTAAAATGAATTACCGTTTAGAATTCATTATCAAATGAATTCCTGTATTTGGTATGTCATATTCAAATCTTAGAAATAAAAATGAATTAAATTTCCAAATCATGTTTGGCATACGTTTAGAATTGAATTAAATTAAAAGTTTCCAACTACACTCTTATCAATTTATGTCAGAAACAATTATCATTGAAAATACATCTTCTAAAATACGCGTTTGGACCCATACGTAGAATATCAAAAGTGTTTTTGTGTGTTTCTATTCTATGCATTAGCTCATTTATAATATCTCATTGATGAACCCTTTTGTGGCTTCTTAACACACTGATACAATCTAGCATAAATATCAAATAACCAGCATATGCTACTATAGCGTTGCGATCAAATTCTTGTCGATGTTCCTCATACTGCATGAATTGGCGCCAAATAATATATGTAAAAGTAATTTAGTTAATAAATGAGGGTAATTATGTAATTATATTATAATTAGTAAATATTTGTGGAATTCATTTGGAAATTCCATATCAATTCCTCAAAATTGCTATATCTAGCTTCAATTCCGTAGAATTCAAAATTTAGATTGAAAATTAATTCTTTTGAATTCCAAACATAGAAAGTTTTCATTTTAAAATGAATTCCTCAAAACGTATTGAATTCATTTATACCAAATCGTATGTTAATAATTTTTTTTATTCTTTGTTTGCCCCCTTAGCTTTTCTCCTCTTAGGATCAATTGAGTTCTCCTAATAACGATAAGATAATCAGGATTTTCCATGATTTGATAATGTGCAGGGTGTGTTTATATTACTATTTACGCATGTTCTTATTACTATTTTGGAGTTGCTGTGAAGGAGTTTGATCCAATGTTAATGTGTCATGTGTGTATGGATGTACTGGCTGAGATTATGGCTGTGAATGACAGACAAGTAAAAGTTATGCATTTCCCATAATTTTTGACAGTATGTATTCTACACGTCTAGGTGATTTTACACTGGGAAGGCTTGGGTTGGGTTGGATCCACAGACCCTAGGTACGTAAGAGGCTATGTTCGGGGTAGGATACTATGTCTATCCTTAAAGGGGTTGGTTTTTTGACACCCCTTCTCAATTGGTCAATTTTTCTTCATTAATCATTGACAAGTATTAATGAAGATAGACATAATAAATGTTTTTGTTATTGAATTCAAAGTAAGCATTAAATACACCACATTAATTACTTGTTTTTAAAAAAAATCTAACCATATACAAAATACAATTATCTCTCTTATCTTTGATCTTTCTCACTCTTATCTCTGATTCTTCCTTTCCCAGCAGCCTCTGTCCACCAAGTTTCCTCCGACCACCACACTTCGTCGGTAAAATCCCGCCGACAAACTCTCTCCGGTCACCTGCGAAAATATACCAATGCACTGATATGTTGTACCACTGCACTGATACTCAGATATGACATTGGTACCAGTACACTGATATCGCTACCAGTGCAGTGATATAGCTACCAGTAGGGATGGCAACAAAACCCAAACCCACGGGTACCCACCCGACCAAACTCGGTCAACGCGGGTAAAACCCGTATTGACGGGTTTTGGGCAGGGTTTGGGTTTAAACCCGCTACATTATTCATCGGGTTGGGTTGGGTTTGGGTTTAGGTAAACCCGCCCCATGGGTACCCGCCCACACATATAATTACTTTCCCGGTATATTTAATATTCTAAATAATATATCTTCTTTAAACAACTAATATTATTTATGTTTGTGGATATATGTATAATTTGTTCTTTCTAATTATTTAGAATGAAGTTGATATTATGGAGTGGAGAGTGAAGAAACTTATTTGACGAGGAAGAATATTTCAATTAATCTTGTTGTTTATAGATGTTTATCTTTAATTTTGAACAATTTGTATTGATCATTTGCGGTTTGCTTGTATGTTCTAGATTGGTATTTTTTGTATGAATAATATCTATGAGAAAATTGATGTTAAACTTTTATTTTGAAAGAAATTTGTTATTGTAAATTTTTTACCAGAAAAACCCACGGGTACCCATGAACCCGCGGATACCCAGCGGGTTGGGTTTGAGTTTTTCAAACCCAACGGGTTTTACCCCGGGTTTTTTTGGCGGATAAATCCATGGGTTTGGGTTTGGGTTTGACAAAACCCGCCCCAACCCGACCCATGCCATCCCTAGCTACCAGTGCAATGGTAACTACCAGTGCAGTGGTACAACGTAGAAGTGCAGTGGTATATTTTTTTGCAGGTGGTCGGAGGGAGTCTGTCGGTGACATTTTCACCGGATAAGTGTGGCGGTCGGAGGCTGCTAAAAAACGAAAAATCAGATATAGGGATAGAGAATGTATTTAGTGTAGGGTTTAATTTGGAAAAAAAACAAATAATTAATATGGTGCATTTAATTCAAAATGTGTATTTAATGTATGTATTAAATTCTATAATTGTATTTAATACTCCAAAGGGTGTCATTTTTCCAACCCTCAAGAGGGTAAGCATGCTAACCGACCCCGCTATGTTCTTTTGTGGAAAATTGCAAGAGCAACCAAAGTTAACTTGTTAGAGCTGAGGCATGGAATTTGTGAGCAGAATCGCGAACAAAGAGCATGTTAGCAAAATTCAATCTACGACGAACATCCCGAAGAACTCGTTCTCATTAAGGGATAACACACTCTACCTTAACTCCTACGCAGCTTCACCACTTTCGCTAGAAATATACATGATCCGAGCTCTGTAAATGATATTAACTTCAGAAGTGGGTTTCTTTTCCAATTTTAGTCGCGAGACTCAGCGGGGTTGAGAACAACTCGGGCATTTTATCGAACACTTGGTGTGCATTTGCTTGCTTTTGCAGAGTTCGACAGCGAGGCATTGCTCCACCTCTGCCGCCGATTCGCTGGAGATGTGAGAAATGCCCACCAGGGAAATTACCACCTGGGTTGTCTGTCTATTCTGGACCAGGAATAAGGTATTGGCTTCGATCACGAGGTAGCAAATCAGTTTGATTGCAATGCTAAATGGTTTAGTGAGTCCTGTGATCGGGCTGCAAATTGGATTGTTGGAGAATAGGAGAAACAGAGATATGTGAAGAGTCTCCATTGATGCTGGGGGAAGAGTTTGAGCGCGTCGAGGATTATATTTTTTGGGAATTCTTTAACCACCTCCTTTGCTAAGAGAAACGACAACTGGATTGGGGTGGAGGATCAGTAGAAAACCTACTGTCCTCTCTTTTGGGATTTTGTATTTATAGAAGAAGAGGGGAGAGGAAGACACAACGGCTAAACAACAGTGTTTAACGGTTGTTTGAATCCATTAAACCAGAGCCCGACAGGTGGCGTGGTAGGATTCGTTATTGGCTAACTAATCTGTGCTTAACAGATCAAAATGAATAAATAATCAAAACGACACCGTGTGGTAAAATGTCGCATTAGTTCCAAACTTGTAATGCATTGCACTTCAGCCCTCCTCGTCTCTGTTGACTGTCTTGAATCCGAGGTTGACTAGGACTGCTGTGTATAACAGCTGCTGCTGCTGTTCTTTTGGAATCAGATCCTTGAGGATCATTCAATAGGCCCCCACAAGATGGAGAGTATACATCAACTACTCCCATCTTGCCAAGTAACTCCAACATCCTGAATTTGCTCACACCCTTAGTGAAAATGTCTGCTAGCTGATCTGATGTGTGTAGATGACATAACCTAATCAAACCAGTCTTAATTCTCTCCCTAGTGACATGCATATCTATCTCAATATGCTTAGTCCTTTCATGGAAAACAGGATTCTCAGCTATATGAATGGTTGACCTGTTATCACAATAGATTGTGATAGGAACTGTAACTTTGACATCCAGTTCTGACAAAAGACCCTTCATCCACTGAATTTCACAGACCAGATGAGCCAAGGCTCTGTATTCAGCCTCAGATGATGATCTTGATACTGTAGTTTGCTTCTTGCTCTTCCATGTGAGAAGAGAATTCCCAAAATATGTACAGAATCCTGTGATTGACCTCCTTGTGTCAGGACAGGATGCCCAATCAGAGTCACTGTAGCCTGTGACAGAGTAGTCTGTGTCTTTCCTGAACATAATCCCTTGTCCTGGGGACTTCTTCAAGTATCTCAGCAACCTCAGTGCTGCCTGCAAATGTGAATCTAAAGGATTGCCTTGAAACTGGCTCAACTGCTGAACCGTGAAACCAATATCTGTCCTAGTAATGGTCAGATAATGCAATCTGCCAATAAGTCTTCTGTAAGACTTTGGATCTTCAATTGTGGTACCTTCCTTGGAGCTTAGTCTGACTTTCATGTCAATAGGGGTTTGTGTCTCTTTGGCTTCAGAATACCCTGTGTCTTCAAGCAACTCACTGCAATATTTTCTTTGATTCACAACAATGCCTTCAGCATTTCTGACTATTTCCAGCCCCAGGAAGTATTTCAAAACTCCAAGATCCTTGATCTATAACTTCTCTTCAGATATAGCTTAACCAGTTCCAAATCATCCAGCTTCTCTCCTGCTAGGATGATGTCATCCACATAAACAAGCAACACAACCAACCTGCCTTGAACCCTTTTTGTAAACATTGAGTAGTCAGAAGCTGACTGTGAAAAACCATTTTTGAGTAAAGAACAGGTTAGTTTAGCAAACCATTGCCTGCTGGCTTGTTTCAAGCCACAGAGTGACTTCTTCAACCTGCAGACCTTCCCTTCACTTCCTTCCAAGCCAGGTGGTGGTGTCATGTACACCTCTTCATCCAAATCTCCATGCAAAAAGGCATTTGAGACATCCATCTGATGTAGAAACCAGTCCTTTGCTGCTGCAACTGCTAAAAGAGTTTTCACAGTGTTAATTTTTGCGACTGGAGAAAAGGTATCTAGGAAATCAATTCCATAGATTTGGGTAAAGCCCTTGGCTACCAATCTTGCTTTATATCTTTCAACTGCTCCATCTGGCTTCAATTTTGTCTTGTAGACCCACTTACAGCCAATAGCTCTCTTCCCTGGTGGCAGTGTTACCAGATCCCATGTCTGGCTTTCCAGCAATGCATTTAACTCTTCCTCCATTGCTTTGATCCAGTGATGCTCTTTTGCTGCCTCTTTGTAAGTTTGTGGATCCATAAGAACTGTCAAATTTAATGCAAATCTTTTCTGCTGTGCAGTAAACTGATGATAAGAGACATAATTAGCCATACAGTATTGGCTAATTTGATTAACTGAAGTAATGTAATCCTTATGCCAAACAGGAGGTTTCCTGGTCCTGGGAGGTAGTTCTTCATCTTCAAGATCATCTCCTGGAGGCAATTCATCATTATCTGAGTCCTGAGAATCAGGCTCAGCATCCCTATAGTCATCTGTTTCACTTGAACCATCATCTTGTTGACCAGGAATAGGAGGAGAGTCAGGATCAGGTGTAGAGTTGCCCTGATTTCCTATGGAGGGATCAACAAGTGGTGGTACTGATATAGAATGCTGGCCCCCATGAGCCTGGCTATCAGGAGAAAAAGGGTCAGCAGCTTGAGGAAAATGAACTGTTGGAAGGTCTGGGAAAGAAGGTAAATCATCTTCTGCAGCAGGTGTGACAGAAGTTTTGAAGGGAAGGATATCTTCATAAAGAACAACATCTCTGGAAATAAAGATGTCATGTGTAGTTAAATCAAATAACTTATAACCCTTGATTCCCATGGGATATCCTAAGAACAGGCACTGTCTTGCTCTTGTTTGAAATTTAGTCCTCCCACTGCTTAATGTAGAGGCATAGGCTAGGCAGCCAAAAACTTTCAAGTGTCCAAGGTAAGGAGGTTTCTGATGTAAAACTTCATAGGGGCTTTTGTTTTGTAACACAGGTGCTGGTAGCCTATTGATCAAGTGAACTGCATGTAGAATGCAGTCACTCCAAAACTGTAAAGGGATTCCTGACTGAAATCTTAAGGCTCTTGCCACATTCAAAATGTGCTGATGCTTCCTTTCAACTCTCCCATTCTGTTCAGGTGTGGCTACACAAGACATCTGATGCTCAATTCCTTGTTCATGATAAAACTCATTCATGTAGAACTCCCTACCTTGATCACTTCTTATTATTTTAACTGACTTAGAGTACTGTTTCTGCACCATAATACAGAAACCTTGAAGCAATGATCTTGCTTCTGATTTGTGCTTCATAAGATAAGTCCAAACAGCTCTAGAATGGTCATCAACAATAGTGAGAAAATATGGAAAACCATCATACGATTCAACTGCCAAAGGCCCCCATATGTCAACATGGATTAAATCAAATACATTAACAGCAATATTCTCACTCAAAGCAAAAGGCAAACGTTTGTGTTTTGAAAAGTGACAGATGTCACAGTGTTTCACTCTCTCATTCTGAACACTGGGATTACATTGTTTAACTAACATAAACTTGCTTGAACTGGGATGTCCTAAACGCCAATGCCATAAGTTGATCTTTTGTGGAGAAAAGTTGTAAACTGAAGCTACTGAATGCCTTGTCTCACTTTCTGGATTGGTGGTTAACAGGTAGAGACCCCTACTTTGTCTTGCCAAGCCAATCATCTTGTTGGTCACAAGGTCCTGGACAAGACAAGAGTCAGAGTGGAAATTTAGTGAGATTGGTAGGTCATGAGTCAACTTGCTAACTGACACTAAATTGAAAGTGAAACTGGGAATGAGCAAGACATTGTGTAAGGGCATCCCATTTGGTAGTTTTACAGAACCAATATGTGTGACAGAAACTCTAGACTTGTTTGGTAAGTAGACATAAACTTCCTTTACTGGCTGACTACTAACAAACAATGATCCAGAGCAAATAATGTGGTCTGATGCTCTTGTGTCTAAAATCCATGATTGACAAAGGGCAGCTGAATGACAGTGAATGTATGAGGAAAGAATATACTTACCGGCAGTGTTAGGAAACTGTGGCATCTGCTGTGAGACTGAGAAAGCAGCATGGTGAATACTAGGAGAGTGAGGTGGTGAAGGAGATGGGGAAGGTGGACTCTTTACCCCTTGCAGCAACAACCTTAGTCGATTCAGCTCATCATTAGTGAATTGCATACCCAAACTTCCTGCACCAGAGTTACCAGAACTTTGGCTACCAGATCCCCCATTAGAAAAAGATTCTGATTGACTCTCTTCTCCTTCATTTACTGCTCCTGCAAAACGTTGTCCACCACCTGAACCTTGTTCCTTGTTCTTCCTTTTCAATTTCCAGCAATCAGCAATGTTATGATTGTTCTTCTTGCAATACCTGCAAAACAGCCCTGTGTCTCCTGCTTCAGAAGTATTCGACCTAGGTGGTGGCCTGTTTGCAGGGTTGCCTTGACCAGCTTGACTCCCAAAAGAGGCAAGTGCAACAGACTGTGAAGCTTTTCCTTTATCTCCTTTCAATTTCTGTTCATGTTGGAGCAAATCACCATAGGCAGCAACCACTGTGGGTAAGGGCTTCATCATCAGCAACTGGGTCTTAACAACATCAAAGGCAGGTGCTACTCCTCTAAGAAACCTGACTAAATAATCAGTTTCCTTCTTAGTCTTGAAAGCTTCCACAGCTGGGCAAGGAGTCACTTGTCCAGGATTACAAGTGCAGGGAACAATGGGATTAAACTTGGTATACTCTTCCCAGAGTCCCTTGACTAAGGTGTAATACTGAGTTATGGTCATATTCCCTTGCTTAGTAGCATGAAGCTCATCTTCAAGGTTGGTCAGCTTGATTGCATTAGCCTGACCAAACCTATCCTTCAGTTCTTCCCAGAGAAGTTGTGCAACTTCATGACTCTGCACACTTCGTTTGATATCCTTGTGTAAGGAGTTCATAATCCAACATAAAACGACTGTATTGCAAGCATCCCAAGCCCTGTACTCATTAGGGTTGGTTCTCAGATCTGGTACCTCAATAGACCCATCAATGAACCCAAGTTTATACTTGGTTTTAAGAGCTATCCGAATTGATCTAGCCCACATCTGATAGTTACTACCATCTAATACTTCTGAAACGATGGATTGAGACAAATTTTCGTTAGGGTTCTGGTAAAAGGGGTTACCAAAAACAAACTCTGGTGAAATGGGAGATCCTCCAGTAGTCTCTGCAGTTGTTGCAGCTGCGTTTGTGGCTGAGGCTGTGTCATCTCCAGCATTTGTCGCCATGGTTGCAGCTGCTGCGGAAGACCTAGGCGGCGGAACGTCGCTCTGATACCATAAGAGAAACGACAACTGGATTGGGGTGGAGGATCAGTAGAAAACCTACTGTCCTCTCTTTTGGGATTTTGTATTTATAGAAGAAGAGGGGAGAGGAAGACACAACGGCTAAACAACAGTGTTTAACGGTTGTTTGAATCCATTAAACCAGAGCCCGACAGGTGGCGTGGTAGGATTCGTTATTGGCTAACTAATCTGTGCTTAACAGATCAAAATGAATAAATAATCAAAACGACACCGTGTGGTAAAATGTCGCATTAGTTCCAAACTTGTAATGCATTGCACTTCAGCCCTCCTCGTCTCTGTTGACTGTCTTGAATCCGAGGTTGACTAGGACTGCTGTGTATAACAGCTGCTGCTGCTGTTCTTCTGGAATCAGATCCTTGAGGATCATTCAATATTTGGTGCTCCCACCCCCGAAGAGTTTTCGTTCCAGATCGTTTGATGAGGTTGTTAAGGGTGGGGGATTCTATGGGGCGGAGAAGTGTCGTATCAAAGGAGCTGGGAGAGATAGGTTCATTGAAATCGGAGAGGAAGGAGTTCAAAGCAGACAAGAACTTCTGGGGAAATGCCTGGTGATCAAGCTTTCGTCGGGCGCTATTAGAGCTTGCATACAAAAGGACGCTGACGATTTCAGAAGATGGGCGGACAAAAATTGGGCGATCCATTCAAACTTTCAATGGGTCAGCAGTGCAGTGGCTTGGGGTCCCAGCTGGCACCAAGCAATGCGAATCAAGAACTTTGACCAAAGCATGTTTCGGAACCTATCGATCAAAATATCACACTGGAAAGAAGATAGCAGGGGCGGTCACGCCTCGCGAATACTATGTGGGTTCTGGTGTGTGATCCCTATTCCGTTGCACTTGAAGAGTATTGATCTAATAAAGGAGATTGGGGAATTCTGCTGAACTCTGGTTGAAGTCGATTGGAATCATTGGTCGGCCGACTTTGTCAGAATTCGGATTAGGGCTGGGAATGGTTTGCCGGAAAGTATTCCAATTAGATTCGCCGGAACTGTGTACAAGCTGATTGTCGTGCCGACCTCAGGAGTCTCCAACGTGGTACTGCCGCCTATGCGTGGGAAGTCGGGAAAAATGACGGAGAAACCCACCTCAGAAGCTGAATCGCCGCATGGGGATAGCTGCTGGCGTGGCTGCATGGCGGCTTCTTCAGGGAGTGGCGGTTCGCCTTCAGGGTATTCAAATTATAGATCCGTTTTCAAAAAGACTGGGTTTACCCATGGGATTTTTTCCATAAATAGCATTGTTTAATTTTTTTTCCAAAAATAGCAGTCAATCCTGAAAAATTCCTAAAATAGCACCCTTTCCCAAAAACCGCCACCCGATCCAGCGGTTTAGGCAAAAACCGCCACCTGGGGGCGCGATTTTTTATGAAAACCACACGGGTAGGGTCGGTTTTGCAAACCGCATGGGGCTGAGGCAGTTTGGTTGCAAACCGCACCCCTAACATGCGGTTTGTAATATATATATTTTTTTTCATAATAAATTCCACAAGTGGTCTTGGCACAACTGGTTTAGTTGTTTATTGTGTGCAAGAAGTCCTGAGTTCCAATCCCCACTGTAACATCCCATTCCGGCTAAACTCGTATTATGGTCGCTAGAAAAATTTCACGATTTAAAATCGACTATTTTGAAAGTATTTCGATGGAAAATGGATTATCGATCGGATAAGTATACAGATTAATTATATATATATATGGCTACTTCGGTGCACTCACTTTTTGAACATAATTAGTACTCTCAATATAATATGATGATATGACATAGAATCATAACAAATCAATCCATTACCCTAACCCCTTAACATTCAATTTTGAATCCCAACCTAAAATCCCAAATTGTAAACCTAAACCCTAACCCTATATCCCTAAATCATAAATCCTAAATCCTTCGAATTAAAGTAAATTTTGAATGAATTTTTTTCAAATTCATGTGATTCTTGTTCATAATATCGTAAGCAACAATTGATACCGTTTTGACATGAATCGCATGGTCAGAATGACAATTATGAGGCGGGTGCACAGAGTGCACCCAAAAAAGTGGGTGCACCGAATACGACACCATATATATAATATTATATTAGGCGGTCACAGACCACCTATATAAATCTCATCCCCGCTCATTTCTTTCCCCATCATCTTCTTCCTTCTAATTAACGAGAGCAACAGACCGAGCAGAGGGCGCACATGGCATGCGAGGGGAAATTTCCAGAACACAATTTTTGAGCATTAGTGATCCAAAAATTCCGTAAGTAATGCCTAATTCATTTATATATCGTGATTTATCGATTTAGAGCTTTAAAACGAGTTTTTGGTTCAGGAATTTCTTGAATTCCCGATAAGCCAAATTAGGGTTTCGGAGTATCCGGAAGCCGGATTGAGCCCATATTTCATATACGAACTTTCTGCAACGAGGTAATCAATCCTCTAGCTCGATTCCCTGAATTTCGGCAATTATTTAGGTCGGGGTCCAAATCGCTGAATTTAGCTTCAGCTAGGGTTTGATGTGTTATTATCAAGAATTTGACCTGGAGCCCAGAACTAATATTGACGGGGATACTGCAGGGGATATTAGGACGGTCTCGGATTTTAATTCGGGGTTCGTTCGTGAAATTGACGTTTTAGTACGGGAAGGTTAAATCGATGTTTGAACGACCAGAATTGGTGAAGGATTAGCACGGCATACCGGGTTTGTCATATCACGATAATTATATTGATGCTTAGAATTGACCTAGAATTTTACTTCAGCTTATCATCCTCAAACATATGGGCAGAGTGAACGAACCATCCTTACCATGGAAGAGTTACTTCGATCATGTGTAATGCATTGGGAGGAATCATGGATTGATCATTTGCCCCTAATTGAGTTTGCTTACAACAACCAGTACCATAGTAGCTTGGGTGTTCCACCATATGAAGCACTTTATGGGAGGAAATGCAGGAAGCCATTATGTTGGGATGTAGAAGGAGCAAGGAAAATCTCAGGGCCAGAGATAGTTCAGATCACAGTTGATAAGGTCAAGGAAATCAGGGAGCGTTTGAGGGTGGCTCAAGATCGACAGAAAGTTTATGTTGACACGAATAGGCGTGAAGTTAATTTCGAAGTGAGTGAGAAAGTATTTATCAAAGTGTCACCATGAAAAGGAGTGATGAGATTTGGTAAGAAAGGGAAACTTGCACCTCGGTATATTGGACCCTATGAAATCACAGAGAAGGTTGGACCAGTGGCATATAAACTAGCATTGCCTCCATAGCTATCCTAAATCTAAATGTATTTCATGTTAGTATGCTGAAGAGGTACAAAGTGGATCCATCCCATGTTATACAACCAGAAGATATCGAGTTGGGTCCAGATTTGACATTTGAAGAGGTTCCAGTTGAGATTGTTGATTTTCAGATTAAGACTCTTCGCAGGAAAGAAATTCCAATGTTGAAGGTTGTGTGGAAGAATCAAGAAAGTGAGAGTGCTACTTGGGAGACTGAAGCAAGTATGCAAGAGAAGTACCCGGAGTTAGTAGCAACCTACTTTGCAGGTTAACAATTTTGCTTAATAAGTTATGTTTTGAACTTGCTGATGTGCTTTTGTTGTGATAGCCCAGTATAGGTTTTTGAACCTAAACATGGGAACTTGAGGTGTTATTTGTTACCTTCTATGTTATGAATCAACTAACCTAAGAGTTAGGTAATGGTTTATCTACGATAGACCATGTCAAGGGTAAGTAAGCGGACTAAGGGTACAACTCAAGGTTAGATTTTGGGGACGAAATCTTTAAAGGAGGGGAGAATTGTAACATCCCGTTTGCTAAACTCGTATTATGGTCGCTGGAAAAATTTCACGATATAAAATCTACTGTTTTGACAGTATTTTGATGGAAATCGAATTATCGATCGATCGGATAAGTGTACAGATTAATTATATATATATATAGGAAGTCACAGACCACCTATATAAATCCCATCCCCGGTCATTTCTTTCCCCATCATCTTCTTCCTTCTAATTAACGAGAGCAACAGACCAAGCAGAGGGCGCACATGGCATGCGAGGGGAAATTTCCAGAGCTCAATTTTTTAGCATTAGTGATCCAAAACTCCCGTAAGTAATGCCTAATTCATCTATACATCTTAATTTATCGATTTAGAGCTTTAAAACGAGTTTTTGGTTCATGAATTTCTTAAATTCCCGATAAGCCAAATTAGGGTTTCGGAGTATCCGGAAGCCGGATTGTGCCCAAATTTCATATACGAACTTCCTGCAGCGAGGTAATCAATCCTCTAGTTCTAATCCCTGAATTTTGGCAATTATTTAGGTCGGGTTCCAAATCGCTGAATTTAGCTCCGACCAGGGTTTGATGTGTTTTTATCAAGAATTTGACCCGGAGCCTAGAACTAATATTGATGGGGATACTAGAGGGGATATTAGGACGGTCTCGGATTTTAATTCGGAGTTCGTTCGTGAAATTGACGTGGAAGGTTAAACCAGTGTTTGAACGAGCAGAACTGGTGAGGGATTAGCACGGCATACCGGGTTTGTCGTATCACGATAATTATATTGATGCTTAGAATTGACCTAGGTGAACAAGAATGGCATGATTAGGGGTGTATGAACTTTTATGCTATATGATGAACCATGGATTGTTGTATGATATTATTGACTTGCCCTAGCCGATATGGACCTTGTTTATGTTGATGATTGCATACATGTTGCCATTTGTGGCTTAACCGTTGATATGACTTCATGGTTGTTCAATCAGGTGTTTTAACATGATGTGATATTGTGGTTGTATTTGGATTCGCAAGTGGGGGAAATAAACTTTCCAGGGTGATATTATGATGTTTAAGGAGGATGACCTTTACGAGGGTTTATCCCGAGGAAGTGCAATATACGACTCCTGATTTACTTATGTTGAGCCAATTATGGCCAGGTCAAGTACATGTGCAAGTAATGAATTATGATTAAGCAAGATGAGATATGAATCATGTATAAGGATACCAAATATGAGTGTCGTGGTCTCACGGTCAACTACATAGTAATTAGGGCTCCCTATGCTATTACTCTATTATGATATGTATGATAGTCACACCTCTCATGTGGGGGTGACTGAAGAATTCTTACGAGATATGACCACACCCAGAGCGGTGTCGCGGTATGACTACACCCATAGTGGTGTGGGGTATGTATGACCATATCCGACGGGATGTTGGGGTATGTATGACTACATCCGACAGGATGTGGGGTATGTTTCCCGGGAGAGTTATTAGCATGGGAGTTGCCAGGCGCCTATAAGTAAAACATGATAAGATGCATATGCATAAGTCAAGGTGGTTGAGTCTTTGGCCTATTGGGATGTCGGATGCCTGAGGTCTGATCCTAGTGTTGTGGCTTGTTTGCTAGATGTGTGGTAGGGGTATGCTCTATTATGAACTCACGATGCTATGATTATCTCACTCAGCTATGAGCGGACCCTCTTTATCCTTTTTCTCTGCTTATGCCATGTGTAAGCAGATCATCATCATCAGCAGCAGTAGATAGGTCTGTAGGTGGGAGCTGAGCAAGATTTGAAGGCAAGATGAGGTATGGTCTTCAACTATTCTGTGCTTGGACTACTACTCGGGATTTTGGCCAGTGATCCACACCTTTTTGTAAAAATGTTTTGAGAATGTTTTTCATGTGCATACTAGCTTTTGATGTAGTGTGAGATATCCACAGGTGTGGAAATTTGAAGATATGTGTATATTTATGTGGTTGTGTAATTTATGACGACTATGATATGCATTAGTAAGGTATGCAGTTGTGGAGTATGAAACTGTCTATGGCTATGAAAGCCAATGTATATGGTTGTGAGTGTATATGTTTGTTTATGGATGCAGGGATTCAGATAAATTATTTTGCAGGTTTTAGTTACAAGAACTATTAGCCCATTACGCGAGTAATTCATGTCGAAATTTTATTTTGGTAAATTTTGATAATTAATGTAACACCCGAGATTATTTCCGCTACAATTGTATCAATAATATGATTACGTAATACGTATAGGGTAGGGTGTTACACCCACCATCCCATTTCAATTTTATTTTTTTAGAAATAAAAAAGCAACATGTTGTAGGAGTGGTGGTTTGAACCCAGACAATAAATAGTTTAC